GACCTTGTCTTCATCCAATACGGGGCACTGATACACTTCATCGAATTCCTCAAAGCACTCACAGTCCTTGGCGATCTTCCCCACCTCTAGCCATTCCAGTCCAGTCCTTTCTGCCAGTTGTTCACATACTGTTGATTTACCCACACCAGGAGTTCCTGCACAAAGATCATGTAAGCAGTATGAGGTAAATTTATACTGATTACCTGTGCTCTAAAAGTGCGACATAAATCAGCCACAATCCAACAGAATACTTCATTGGACTTCAGGTTTTAACAGTGGTGAGTTCAATGATGAATATGGGAGTGCGGCCTAGTTTAATTAAACATTCCGGTATGATTCCACTTCCTCTATGCTAGGCTATTATACCCAAATGTCACCTAACCAAAAACATAACCACAGGAAGATAAGAAACCCTTACAGTATTGATGCACTTATTTTTACTTCAGTTCACAACGGAAACAATTACTGACATTTTAATAAAAATGTGTAAACCATTGGGATCATATCAAACACAACATGCGGGAAAAATAATTTTTGGAGGAATTTATTATACCCGTACCTTTAACATTATACTCATTACCTCTGCACCACTTGCAATTTGCAAGAAAGGCACTTACTTACCTGTTACTAATATATTTGGCATAATGCGTTGAGAAGTTTCCATGCTTCACGTGAACATTATCAACGCATATTACGAAACTGAAAAATTACAAACCATTTTGCTACTCATCCACGTGTTTTATTAGCACTTTTCTATGCACATGACAATAGCGGCAATCTCACATTTCCCCCATCTATGAAAACAAATTTCCCGTAATAGCAGGGCTACACATACAGAAGCACAAAAATTATAATGGCGGAACTCAATCGTCTGCTACCCACTTCGTTCCCCAAGGAACACCCATCGCTCTAATACAATTCATAGACCTTGAAATTGTAATAATTTCCTGGCTAAACTTAAAGCAACATTTTTAAAGTTTTATATTTGTTTCAATGACACAACGAAAATATAATGCTATCAATGAACTACAAGATTACAAGGAACAGTTTTTTTAACCTTACGATTATCATACGTAAATATGTATACGTTATCCATATTGTAGGCTTTAGAGAAAAATATTATGAATACATAACTCAGATGTAATGCTGTTCATACAATATTAATGCCCATATATACTGGTATATGAAACTAAAACAGTGGACATACACAGCTTACCAATGGTTGAAAATAAATCACAGCCATTACGATATTCCTTCCTTATAATTGCTCTTTCAGTTAGCACCCTTGTTTTATTATTTGGAAGGTACCCAACTTAAATCTTGACTAAGATAGCAGATATCCTGTGACATTCTCTTTTCCTAAAACAGCTCTTGCAGAAAGTAAGCTGCTTCCTGACAGTTTACTTCCACATCCTTCCCAACTTCTGATTCAATACTATACGCCTTCTGCATAATGCAAAGAACCGATAAATAGACCAAGAAAGAAAGAAACAACTAAGACAGACAGGAAAGCACATACACTTCAGAAACTGCAAGGTCTTGAGAGGAGATCCAACATTACAATAGGATTGGAAGGTTATGGAGAAACAGTGTGTGCAATCTTAAGACAACAAAGTGAGACTTTATTGGTCAAATATAACATTCAGACTAATGATTATGGTTTTCATTACCTTATTCCTACAATAAAATAAAAAATATATTTATTCTCATTTAACACACTCAAAGGTTTAGGCTCATCTTTATGACCACAGAATACGCTATTGAGGGTATACACCATTCACTTATTTCAACAAAGTCAATGTCACTTACATCACTTTGCAAGAGATACATTCTGAAATTTACAATACCTAATATCACAACAGGTTGTCATGGAATTGCCATCTACCAGAACACAAAACTAAATTGTACGAATATCAGACATTATTTGGTTCTAATGAAATCCAATAACTTCCCCACTTACCTTTGTTCCAAAATGCAATAGTCAAAAGAGATCTACAAGTGCTACCAAAATCATGTAATGGCAAACTTCACGATATCCTCTTGGCTTAAGTTCAAAATAACTAATAATTTGTGCATTCAGTTATGATCCCGGCGCAAGTTGGCGATTGTAAGTTTAAACTGCTCATATGTAATCCACATCACGATGTTCCAAGACACCAAGCGGCAAAACGATGGAATGAAGCTGCAACATTGCGACACACAACTGTACACACTTACCCTTACAGAACAGTAAAATCAAAAAGGTTATGATGCGTTGAACATGTA